GTAATTTTGTGTTAGGATTGACTGATTTTAATTGTTTTATTTTATTTTATATTTTAAGGAACGGATATGGATAGTAGTAATGGACCAACCAATTGGGTCGCATGGATTACTTGGATAGGAGATTAATGGGTACGAATATTTACCCATGGATGTTGGTACATATATATATATATATAGATATATATGTATATTTATGGATATTATATTTATTAGTATATTAAATAATTATATTAATAAGTATAGTTAGTTTATATATATATATATATATATATATATATATATTATTTAGTATTAAGGAAGGAATTGGAGAGGGATTAGAAGTATGTTATATTTTATAAGTCTATATATATAAGTATTGTCAAGAGAAAGAGGGGAACTGAGAGAGAAAAGGCTAGGGTTTTGGCCAAAGGTTGAAGGCTGGACCAAGGAGGAAGGAAGAGGGCTTGCTCGTCGGTAGAACCAAGAGCAGCAGAGGAGTCCTTGACAGCAGTCACGATCGCCAAAAAAGTTAGGAAGAGGAAGTTAAGGTTTCAATTCGAAACCTAGAGGCAAGTTCTTCTTCTAACTCCTTCTCTTAGATTTCGTGTTCTATACATGCCTAGGTTAATTTCAGGATTAATCAGATGTTTAATTGACATTGTATGTATGCTTGAATTGAATTAAAACTGACTTTAGTTGTGGATATATGTTATTGTTTGATCTTGAAATTTCTTGCATAGAAACTTGTTTTAATTCACGTAAAAGATGCATAAAGAGTTTTTATAATTATTGGGATTAATTTGTGACTTAGAACAAAGGTTTAGGACCCTTAACGGAGGTGGTTGAAGTGATCAGAGGCCGCCGGAGACGAAGAAGATGAGTGGAAGCAGGTTGAGAGCCGACTCCCTAATGAAAAGTGATGACTCTCAGGGTGAGAGCCGGCTCCATGGAAGAGGGATCCGGCTCCCTCAGGCCGAGAACATGCTCCATTGAGAGTAAAACATGCTCCATTGAGGACAGAGTATGCTCTATTGAGGACAGAGCCTGCTCTCTCAAAACGAGAGCATGTTCCAACGCTTGGAACTTGTAGATTTTGGTTTTTAAAGGTTCTGTTTGACTGTTAGGGTGGTTCCAATGATGTTTAATTTAGTTTGGGTGATTTATATGAGTTAAATAAATTAGACTAATAACCGGAATGCATAATCTATGACTATATGCTGTGGATTTGAACAATATGAAGTTTTAAATAAGTTTGCATATTGTTAACTAAGGATTTAATTTCTTAATTAATTTAGCAATTTAAATATGTTAAATATTGGCATTAAACTAATTTATTCAATTAATTGGATTTAAATAATTTAATTATGTCCTGAAGGTTAAAACAATCTATTTGAGATGCATGTTAATTTATTATATTGTAAAAATTAAATGCATGCTGCTTAGAGTTGTTATTTTGCTTAAGTATTATCATGTTATTTTGGATTATTTGATGTACTGCTTTATCTGTTGCATCATGTATTGGATTGTGTGGTTTAATGCACCGGTATAAGACGGTGGCATTCTAGGGACGGATTAACCAAAGAAGTTAAGTCCTACCTATTTTTGTATAAAGGAATGGATTAACTATAATGTTAAGTCCTACTTATATTCGTATTAGGTCAACTGAACAAGTTGAATGACCTATCTGGATTACTTAAGGATGTATAGAATGAATTATATATATATAATTATGGTGCCATGATATGAGCTTGAGTCTCAGGATCATGGTTAGGGTGCGTATATTGCCTAAGATGGATAACTGGATATAGTAGACATCTGTGTGTCCTGGTAGGTTTAGGTACTCATGCCCACTTTATGTGCGATTTGCATGTTGCCTTCTATTCAGGTTGAGACAGACTTATAATCCAGTGAGTGTCCTATAGTGTGTATTTATATATGTATACGGACTACTAGTTATTATTGGATTGATTAGGATGTATACGTGTATCGGATCTCTATTTAGATTGTAGTAGAATAGAATTTGTTGGTGGGCCTGACCCACCATTATTTTTTAGGTGTTTGTCAGGAGTAGAGGTTGTTCGTGCTGAACAGGGATCAGTCTACTTCACTCTTTCGGATTATCTACATAGGAGTTCATTTATGTTTCAGTATTCTGATGACAGTTATTTCTGTTTTTTGTTTAGTTGGGATTTTTAGGAGTCCACGTAGTATTATTTTGGAGGATTAATTATATCAGAAGAATTTATTTATTAATGAAATTTTATTTTGAGGAATTATTGGATTTATCACTTTACCTTCTTTTTAGCATTTTATTTATCATATTTGTATTATGTGTTTGATTATTACGGATTTGTTTTTGATATCCGTGGGCGTTTGAGCATGGGCCTGTCCAACCTGCATCCAGAAGACTGGGGTATCACAGTATTACACTTTGATTTAGCATTTTCAGCAAAAAATAAATCGGAACAGCAACTTTGTTATTTTGAATTTCATTTTTTCATTTTTTATTTATTTATTTTGAGTCTGAAAATAAAAGTTTTATACCTGGATTTGAAATGTTTGCAAAGAAACAGCTCAGAAAACTAAACCTACATGAAGTGGTGAAATTTGATTTTTATAGTACAATTCTGTCAAATGCTATATTCAAAGTTGACTAGGATTCTACATGGTGGGTTTGCGGTGTTCTTCCCTGTTGTATAGGTCCTGTTTGGCTTTTCAATACGTTTTGCTTTAGTAGACTGTGGCGTTTGGCTTTGGATTCTCCTGTACCGGTTGGGAATCCGATGGAGTGGGGTGTCATGGAAGGTTTATTGGCCGAGCGTGTTCAAAACAGCAGTAGTTGTTTGGTTGCCGGTGGGGTTTTCTTGGCCGACGATGCTCTGTTCCATTTGGGGCGACGTGAGGCGGTGGTGGTTTCTGGAAGCCTCGGCGTGGAGCAGTGTGCGTGGAAGTCACGTAGGAGGGCAGAATTCGTGGCTGGACCCCACTTTTTGCCAGCCCTCGGGGTTTTCCTGCCGGCGATCAGTTGTTCCGGTTGGGAAGAAGTGTGGCGGCGGTGGTCTCTGGAATGCTCGGTGTGGAGATTTGCGTGCAGCCGTCATGTGGAGAGGCTGAATCCATGGATGGAATTCAATGTTTTACAAATCTTGGGTTGCTGGCAGTGGATCTGGAAGTTTGCTCTTGGTGCTGCACAGACAATATCATGGTATGTGTTTTACAGTGTTGCAGCTTTATTTTGTATGAATTGTTATGACGTGTGTGGTTTCGCTGGCTTGGCGTAGTGAATACATTTCTGGGTTGGGCAGTTTGGGTCCTTTTTATATATCTCACGTTGTTGCTGTTTGTAGTCTTCTGTGTTTCGTCTCTTGGTTTATTTTACCACTTGTGCTTTCCCTTTTCTTTGTGTTTGTTTCTATCTCTAACTGGGTTAGGAGGTATTGGTGGGGGGAAGTAGGGTTCCTTGTGTTCTTTTGTTGGACTTTTATTTTCAGGATGAAGATGGAGCCAATTATTCGGGATCAGTTTCAAGGTTTGACATTGACTCAGAAGGAAAATGAGCCAAGTCAGCCGTCGATGGTCGATATTGCCAATGATGTGGTTAAGACGGTTGCTATGGACGTTGTTGTTGGTGAAAAGAAAAGAAAAGAAAGATAATGGAGAGAAATTAAATAGTGTGTTTGGTATAGTTTTTTAAAGGAAAAAAAGAAAGGAAACAAATGGGTTTGGAAGGATACAAATTAGGCAAAAAAAAATATTAATTTTGTAATTTTTAATGAAACTTTGTTAGTACTGAATTTGCCCCTTACGTTCACGAAAGACAAAATTTACTAAGATGGTATAATAATAAATTTATTTAAATAGTTTTCTTTCATTTCTTTTCTCAACAACATGATTGATTATTATCATTTCTTTTCTTTTTCTTTACTAGTGAACCAAACCGATGAGTATTTACAAAATCCTTTTTTTTTTTTAACTAATATTATCCTTTCTTTTCTTCCACTGTACCAAATGAAATATGATATTTAACCACTGCTAATGTAAATGACATAATTTTTTGCAATATTTGGAAGCTACATATTACCAATTGCATTGCATTCAATAAATAGCATGATCATCATATTCAGTCCATTGCTTACTGGTGAATTGTTGTCAAAACATTGAAAGGCTATTTGTTTGGAATCAAATTCTTTTGGATTTGGAATTAGAATGGAAAAAGGAGTTGAATTCTAATTAAAATGGAATTCCATTTTTGTGTTTGGAATAGATGGGAATTCAAATGAATTAAATAACAGTTGAAGGTAATTTTCAAATAGGTGAATGGTGAGATATAAAACGACCAATAAATAACCTAGAGCTAGGTAGGAGAGGTGTGAAAAGGGAGGGTAACTTTGGTAAGTTCAAAATTTAACCTGATAAGCGTTGTGGGTAGTTACCAAATCTCTTCAAATCCTTACATTTTCTCCTGGATTTCTTAACGTTATAAAATTTCCCATCAAATCCAATGAAATGCCATACTTTTTAAAATCCCAACCATTCCAAACATCTAGTCCCTTTCCAATTCCCCTGGAATCCTGCAAAATTCCATACTTTTTAAAATCTCACCCATTCCAAACATCTAAAATCCCTTTCCAATTCCAATTCCCCTGAAATCCTGCCATTCCAAACACAACACAGCGTAAGAGCAGGAAACTTTGGGGAACCTCTTAGAACACCTCACCCTCAAGTACATGCAACACCCTATTTGACATGCACAACACTTAACAAAAATTTCTAAAATTCATCTAAAAGCCATACTTGAAAAAGTATTCGGCACTCCTCAGGCATTGACAGAACAGATTTAGCATCCCATTTTCCAAAAGTGACAAACAAAAAGGTTTTTTTGAAAAATAGGTGTATGCCTCCTCAAAAACGCAGGTACTACAGTACCTGCCTTAACATCATGTTCATGGCACCAGCACTGATTTGATTTTGCTCATAGAACAATTTCAGAAATTGGACCATGTGACCCATACCATGCTTCATTCTTTGAGATCTCTGAGCTATTCAAATTATTATTATTTTTTTTGGAAGTTAGCTAGTCTAATTATTTCAAGATACAATTTATGCAGAATGTAAAAGAAAAGAGGGAAATGAGGGAAAGGGTGGGGAGGGGTGGTGACGGTGGTGCAGTGTTAGAGGTCTCATTTATGTGGAGCTCTAGTTTCAGCTGAATGAAGCTGCCCTTCATGGACAGAAGTTAGTAATAGTTTCTGCTGCCCATTGCACTTGGGGTGGATATCCTGCTCTGTTGCTCTGGGAGAACTTGGCCGATCCTGTTGACATTCCTGGATGGGGCAGATGGAGATTAGCTTGGCTGCACTAAGTGATGCATGGAACTGTTCATGGCCTATTGGCTTCAGGAACTTCAATTCATGATCTTGTCTCTCGTGGCAGCTCGTGCACTGCATCTTCTTCCCTTGCACTTCATCTTTCACTCTCTGGGAGCGGGAAAAAGATTATTAAAAAAATAATAATAAGGCAGATATGAGCAGCATATCATCATACGGTACACACATTGTAGAACTATAGTTATAAATTGAAGTATTTCGATATGATTGAAAGGAGATAAAGCACTATAACATCATAAACATAGAATGACATCTATAATTTCTTCCCTTCTTGTCGTACCTATTTTTTTGCCAACCATTTTTTAATCTTTTCCTTTTAACTTTAGGACTTAGTTCTCCTAAATTTCCAATAGGTTTGTAGTTGTGGATTGAAAAAACCAAAAAAGGTTATGAATTACAGCATTGTCATCTGGACACAAATGGATGCTGTGCCACTCGCCATCATCCTCATGGTTTCCTTTGACCCCAAAGAAATACATATCAGAGCTTACAATGAGATATAATTTATTGTGTGACCCTACGTAAAGCCTTGAAGTGCACAACAACAGAACAATTGAAATAATACGAAATTATGCTAGTTGTCAAATAACAGATATGAATAATTGGAGAGTAAAACATGTGGACACCACATGATACAGCATTGCCAAAATGCAACCAAAGTAAACAACAGAAAAGAACTACAACACCAACTTTAATTTTTACTATTCGTTTTCTTCTTGGTGGCACTCATTCGAAACTGACCAATCCATTATTCCTATGTTAGCCCGAGAGTGTTTTTCAATTTACACGAAAAAATTACGTATATCAAAAACCTGAATTTCCAGTTGGCAATTCGTTTTCCTGACACCCCCCCCCCCTCCCAAAAAGATTGGGTCACCAATTTCGTGTTAAATGACAGTTTAGATACAAGACTGAAAAATATTCGCAATCTGATATTCTCAATTGGTTCAACAATATCCCAAGTATTCCGGAGATCATGAGCAATCAACCTCTCAATTTCTTCTAGCAAAAAGCAAAGCACAAGCTAAATTGGCCTCTGCTTCCTCACTGGAAAAATACAAGGACTACCTCAAGGCAGAACTCCACAGTATTTAGCAGCAAGAAAAGGCTGGACCAACTTCAAGTGAAGGCTCGGTCAATAATGAAGATTTTTCTCAGCCAAATGAAAATGATGTTTAAATTTTCTTTCTCTAATCATTTGCCACTTGCAAATTAAATTAATGCTGCCAATTATTGAATCCACTATTCAATTCTCTCTGGTAGAAACTTCCATAAATTTTCATAGTTTTTCCAAGTCCATCATGGTTTTTCCAAGTCCTTCAAGCCATCTTGACTTGGTTTTACCAAATCCAAGTACAGACAAAATAGAGAATTTTTATCAAGTTTCCCCAATCCATGCCACTGGGATTTCTTTGCAAGTTTATCAAGACATGGCAAAGAAACCACTGTAGGAACAATGAATTTTCGAAGCCTTTGTCAGGAACAATTGAATCAAGTTTTTTGGCTTGTATCAACAGTAAGTATTTCAAACCTTTGTAGGAAGCAATTTCATAATATATGTAAGCAAAAATTCATTATTCCAGACTCCAACTCCTTTTTAGTCCGCTTCAATTTTCATATGAGAAGTTGCCGCAAACAATGGAAAGCTCAGTTCAAGGAAAGAAATCTCTCTTACTTCTAGCTTTTTGAACTTAGCCTACAAAATAGTTTCCTTGTAATCTCCTTTATTTTCAATTATATTTTGTCTATCTGATTTTTATTTTATCATTCATATTGTGTTTTTTTACATTATTTACTGTGTAGATTATCCTGTGAATCTATTGGTATCAGATTTTTAAAATTCAACGCAGATGGAAATATGGAAATCAAGTTTTCTTCTAGAAAATATATAAGTGAAATAGGATCTTCCTCTAGACATCCAATTCCTCCTAGACATTCATGTTCTTCAATTCCTAGCGCAACACCTCATATATGAATAATTAAATGGCAAAACATGTGCACACCACATAGTATGGCATTGCTAGAATGCAATCGAAATAGACAATTAAAAGAACTACAAACACCAACTCTCAGTGCCAAAAGTCCCTTAAAAATGAAAAACAACTTTGGAACAAGTTGGGGGAATCTTGCCAGTGTTTTGACCGTTCCACAGTTTTTGCCATTTAAAAATTTATCGTAAAGATTCTTAAAACGGGTAGTAGCTTTTAGCATTGCACCAGATAAGACTTTATGGTCAAATTCTGTAATACCCGACATATCTTCTTCTCTATTACCATAAATATGAAAAATTCCATGCAATCAATATCACCCAAGACATTGAGTTTCAAATTATTACAATTAACATTGCTCAAAATATAAGAACCAATGAGCAAATGCCACAGTGATAAAGTTTAAAAAAAAAAAAAAAATTGATAGAAGAGAAAAGTTCTTCCTAATTTTCCAATAATATCGTCAATCTTATAAGTTAAGCAAATAATCCAGTTAATGTCTTCTATTAAGTTGAAAGCTAACATTAAAGTATGTGAGTAACAATTCAAAAATCTTGTGCTTCATTTGGATAAATGGATGAATTTGAAATCAAATGATTTTAGTTTACATAAAAGGTTTGTCATTGAAGTTTGATTCCAAAGTCCAAGGTGATGTACATGAGAAATACTTTATGACCATTCATTGAGCAACTTGGATGGCATGGACTCCTTATACCTTGTTAGATCGTGTTATTTGAAATCCAAACATATAATTATTTCAAATAAACTATATTTCTTACCTAATTAAATCTAAATCCATTCATTTATCTTTTAATCCAAATAGAATAAATTAATTTGAGTTAAAGGTTTATTCAAAAACTTTCTTTAAACGGTTATGGAAGACAGTTTTTAAAGTCTAATTTTTAAAATACTCCAAAAAAAAATTTCGAAAATGTGAGAACTAAAAGTGATAATTTTTATAAGCAAATTGTTGGAATTTAGGTTGAATGATTGAAATGTTTGATCGATGGAATTGTTGAAGGTAGTAGAATCATGGAGAAGTAGAACACTGTGTATTATGAAGGAAAAAAATCTTTTATTGGTTGGAACACTTGCATCCCAAGTAGTAACAAGTTTGAATGTTGAAAGGCTTTGCCATGTACAATCCCTTACTATTTATGTTCCATCCATACTTCTGTTAAAATTTTCTAGTATTTTCTTCCTTCTAAATATCTTAAATATTTGTACACATATTTCGTTAGATGTCATTTGTCATTTGTCATTTGTCTAAGATTGTTTAAGTTTCCCTATCTTCTAAATTTAATTATTAACACAAATTAGAGTAAATCAGCAAACCTAGTAATTAACTACAACATAAAGAAGAAAAGTTACTCCAGAATAGAATAGAAATGAAAATAAAAGAAAAAACAAAAAAATGATACATGTAACAGAACTAGAAGTAGAAGCAGAGCAACCAACCTGCAACAACATCCTATCGAACTCAGGAAGTCCAATTTGGCCAACAGTAAGTGATCCAAAGAAATTCCCCAATAGAGCAGCATCAGGCACTGCCAATCCTTGAATAAGTCCGGCAACAAACCCTCCTAAGAAACTATCTCCGGCGCCGGTGGGATCAACCTGAATCGTGGGAAAGGGAGCAATCTGTACCTCCCCATCCTTCCAATACACAGTACAACCATCCTTCCCATTCGTCACAACAACACAGCACCACTTCCTTGCCTCCTCAACATCCACAAATGGGGCTTCTTCGGCCGAAGCTTTCAGAAACCCAATTCGTGGCAATAGGTGAAAGAACCCACTCTCCTTCAACCCAACCAGCTTCACAGTACCGTCAACAGAATCAAATTTTCGAATCAGCGCCTGAATATCAACAAAAACCACATTACATACATCGATCATTCGCTCTAGAGTCTCCGGCAGTATCTCTCCGGCGACCCCAACGGCCATACCGAAATCAAACCGCGAGTCGGGAAGATCCGACGGCGAAATGGGTTCGCAGGAGTAAACACGTTTGAGGATCCGGTCTTGGCGTCTGGTCTCGGCGGGCTCGGATGAGAAATGGGCGTGAAAGAGAGTCGTCGGCGACGAGGACGACACAATTGGGTCATGATTGACGCCATAAGCGAAGTCTGAGCCGACCTTAGCAACGTAACTGGAGGTGATCGAGAGGCCGTCGAGCACGGCGGAGATGAACGATACCGCGCCGCCGAGGGTCTGGCCTATTACGACATCGTCCCGGGTTAGAATATCGTGGCAATAGTTTCCGACGATTAGGCCCCGCTGAGACACTGTTTGTCGCTCGTTTTGGTGTCTCACCATGAGTAATTCGGTAGAGCAGAGAGGTTAGGGTTTTGGGTTGGTGTGGTATGTGCGTTTGTTTTGGGATCATCAGTGCTCGCTCGCGAGGATTAATTTAGAATTCGTGAGGTGCCATGAAAGCAAATGAACCGGAGATATTCGTCACTGTGTGTCTGTGTGAGAGAGGAGGTCGATTTAAACAAAAGGGTTTCTTGTTCGTTGGTTAGTGAGAATTCGTGTCAAGAAAAAGGAGATGCCAACGCGGAAAACAGAGAGAGGGAGAGAAGTATGGCAACGTAGTGAATTTGGATTGTATTGAAATGGGAGGAAAATGGAGAGAGAGAGAGACAGGTGCGAAGGTGTTACATAATGAGATAGAAATGGCGAGAATTTGAAATGTGAAATTGAATTGATGCTGAATTGATGAGCGACGGTGGTTTTGCATTGAAATGCGAACCTTTAGAAAGTGGATTTGATTCCTCTGTGATTTCTTACACTAAAAACTTTCTGATTTCGGGGACCAGCTATTGAAATGGTCGCTTCTTTTTCCCCGAAATTTTCGAGCGTTCGTTTCCTTGCTGTTCCAGCTAAAAGTTCATAGTGTTTGGAATCAGAATTTGGAAAAGGCAAAATTGAAAATATAAAACGATTTTACTGAATTATAAATATATAATTTTAAAAGTAATACTATTTAAATCTATTTATCCAGTCAAGAATATCAAAATAAAAATAAAAATAAAAATTCTTCTACTATACTAATAGTTGTTTGAGATTTTTTTTTTTTAGGAACATATTAATATAAATATATCTATCAACGCAACAACTTTTCATATTTAGTTTTAACCGCTTTACTTGACTCTTGTATAATTGTGTGTGAAGTGATAGAGTCGTTCATATTGTAATATCAGTAAAAATTATAGAATCACATATTGTTAATTTTGGCTAGAATGTGACCATCAATTCATATAAAGTTTTAATTCAATTCAATCCGTAAAAGATTGGATTAATTTCACCAATTAAACTTTTTTAAATAACTCCATTTTGTTTTTCTATCACGACCCACTAGATCAATTATCAATTTATTAAATATGAGTTCATATATTTAAAAGTAGCCATAAAAATGAATCAACATCAAATGATGTTACATTTAACAACATTTCACATCATTATAACCAAATTAAAAAATGTGAATTGGAAATAAAAAATATATATATATTATATTTGTATATATTAAAGGGGGTGGGCCGTGGGTTTAATAACTTTAGCTAATTTTATAAACTTACAGGAACTCTAGTAAGCATGATGTCCGAGCAAATAAAATACTTTTTCATTAATCTCTTTTTTTTTTTATAGACCTTACTTTAAAACATCATTACCCATAGTAAACTTAATCCTGACCCACAATAAGGGTCCAAGAAATAAGGCCAACAGAATTAGAACTGGTTTGTACTTAATTAGGACATGGATCCTCTCCTGTTATGAAGAAGTTCTACAATTAATTTAAGCAAGGTATTTATGCCATTGAGATCAAAATTTATAATTTAATGATATTTTTTATCTTTAAACACGGAAAGTTGAGGCCAATTTTCTATAGAAGCAAAGTGAATGCAAACGTTATTTGCTAAAAAAAAAAAAAAAAGGAGGTTAGGAGGAGGCATTGAGTTGAGAATATGTATATATATATATATAAAAAAAAAAAAATTAATGAAAGGGATGGGATTTGGTAGGATAAAAAAAATTAATGACTGTTCTAACTAGTTTAATAGTCCTTAGATCGAGTTCTGTTTTAATTTAGGGTTTACTGGTAGTAGATTCATGGAACGCTAAAAATTGTTCCCTTTTTGTGTCCTATAACGAAAAAGTATACAATACCAAGGAATATTCTACATGTAGTATTCTGCACAGTGCACACTCATTTTTTTTCTTGAAAATTTCTAATTTCTCATATATCAAGACAAATTTAGAGATTCCATAAACATGGATCGAGCAAGGGTACCACGTATAAATATTCCTTAGGTATTATATACTTTCTCACTTACAAAACAATATTAAAAAAAAATATACCAACATCGAAAAAAGAGGTATGAGATCCCAATTAACCATATCATAACTACTCTAGGAACTTGGCACAAAACAAATATGAATATCTTCAATAACTTTAGCCTAGGGAAGAACTCATCAACATCCCCGATGGATGAGAACACAAGTGGTTTGGTTCTTGGTAATGTTTTGGTTTGTGGATAAGTTTGTAAAGTTTACTTTTAATGAATGAATGTTTATAAGCTTTTAGCTTGTAATAAAATTGTTAGGAAAGATGGTCCATTCAACTGAGCTATCGAGCTCAAGATTGAGTTTAATTGTGGGGTTAAAACTCACGTCATGCTCATGTAAGAGTTTTTGAGCTTCACTTGAACATTACTTGTGGAGCTTGAATTCCGATCGTTCTTGATAATGTTTTGATTTGTGGATAAGTTTGTGAAGTTTGCTTTGAACAAATTAATGTTTATTGGCTTTTAGCTTGTAATAAAACTGTTAGGAAAGATGGCCAACTCAGCTAAGCTTTCAATTGTTCCAACTCAATTTTAAGTTTAATTGTGGAGTTTAAGCTCATGTCGAGCTAAAATAAGAGTTTTCAGCTTGCGCTTGAACATTACTCTTGGAGCGACCATTTAGTCAATACCAAGTTCAAGAATGAGCTCAAATTTAAACCCGAGCTTGAGATTAAATTTGTTAAAGAAGAAAAATTACCTATATATAAATGAAAACAATATCTAATAAACTAGTCATTTTACAAGCATTATTGAGGTTGTTCCTAAACACCATTTCATGAACGTATTCACAAGCTAACCAGTCAAGCCACGAGTTGTTTGTGTTCAGCCCTACATATATATTATGGGTAAATGGTACAGTGGGCTCCAAATAGGAGAACATTCGTGAGCGGGCAAAAGGGGCTTTAGGCCCAACAAACAAAAACGAGGAAACTATGGGGAAGACAAGCCCAGTCCATCAAGCCAAACAGACCCAATTGCCCCCAAAGAGTAGACAAATTAGGGATTCAAATCAATTAATGAAGCTCAAAGAAATGTAACAAGTCAAGGATTGCTTGCTGGAGTTGTTACCAAACGTTGACCTTATTGAATCAAACTTTTCTAACGAATGTGAAATCATAATAATTAGAGCTCAAAATTTATTATTATTATTTTTTGATAAGTAATTACTGGTCGAAATTTATTATTAAGCAAAACTGGATAACAACCTGTACATTACACAACCTTAAGAAAAATACATGTCCTAATTAATAAAAGTAGCAAAGTCAAGAAAAAAGAACCCATCATAAAATTTAATATAATTTGCTTTACCTTAAAAAAATTTTAAAAAAATAACTCACCATAGAAAACTCAGGTAAGTGCAAGAAATACTCTTAAAGTATACATTTCATAACATTTTTACCCCCTATTTAAAAAGATGTACAAAAAACATTTCTATTCTTTTCAATTTGTGCAAAAACAACCCTTAATTAATATAATACATATTTTATCTTTTTACTCTTCAAAAAATGCCACTACATGTAATACATATTTTATCTTTTTACTCTTCAAAAAATGCCACTACCCAAACCCACTTATCATCACCTTCACTCCTCACGTTCTCATCGCTGGTTGGTGACCTAAGTTCTTCACCGGCCTCGGTGCGTCTTGGACACCGCTGTCCGTTCCCCTTTCTCGTTGCCCAAAGTCTCGCCAATGAGAACATTCCAACTTTTGCCGACCCGTTCAAGCACATTGTCTCCACCTTGCTATTTGTTCTGCCGCTTCACCACCGTTCATCCTCGTCATTAGTAGTTTACCATCGGCCATACCGAAGATGAAACTGTTGGTTTGACGATGAAGCACGACGGTCTGTTCGTTGACGCTCCGACTTGTCACCGAACCGAACTGGGTTGCTACACTTCTGCAACTTCTGGCGAATAAAACCAGTCACTAGAGTTTCGAAATTTTTGTGTGCATCACCGTTACTCGGGTGTTAATTTAATTATTGTAAATTTTGGTACTGAGATGAATTTTTTAGCATTGGGTGATTTATATAAAAAATCTTGGAGTAGAAGAGAATATGAGTGTTGGTAATTGGGGATCTTTACATTCCACTCAGGGCACCTGATCTGCCATCAAAGTTCAAATCCATACATATCATTTGCATCGAAAATCTTTGTATCAAAGTACCACACTTCTTCTTCTTCTCAATCTTTCGAATATTCTTTTTCCTAGTTTATTAGTGTTTTCTTAATTGTGTATATATATATATGTTTTCTTTGTGGTTTTCAAGGTCCCAAGGTTTTAGATTATCATTTCAATCACATGGCAATCAATTTTCTAATTCTCATTTTCCTAACCAATTATCATATTCTTAAGGAAACTCTAAGAGTCAATCTTACACAGACTACATTGCAATGCTATTAAAGTTCCTTTTTCTACCCTAAATAAATTTAAATTGCAATATTTCCCATCATAAGTGCTAGGGTTATCATATATTGTTTTAGAAGTCCCTAGTTTACATAACCGTTGATTTGGAAAAGATGCGGTAACAACCAACGGCTAACATTTGAGCTCGAGATGTGAGACACAACATGCACGTTTCTTCTCAAATGCCTCTAACTTTGCTGATAGTGTCTCTATCATTATCTTTATTGCCACTATCTCTTCATCTAGCTTAGCAAGGGTGGAGAATGTACAATCACTTTCCTCAACTTCATCTTCATCCTTTTTTGTACTTTTCACACTGCAGCATTCTTCACCGGTAAGCTCGAAAAGTAAGTGTAGGTCTTACCTTTGTTCATATTCTCTTTGCAGTTGAGAATTATGATATCATTGTAACGCATTATCTCTAGTAATGTGCTCTAAATGGGGGCAATTGAATGCAAGTAGGTGCATTGTATTCATTAGGCACATAATGGATTTAATCTTCTTAGAATAATGGTAGTTTTTTATCAAATAATAATGGAAGCTGGAACTAGTGTTTGAATTTCATTCACACGACCCAATACATTTGATTTTTCTTGTTTGACCATAATAGAATCTGTTTTGTGTCCATAAACACAATATGGATCTTAAATGCCAGAAGGCATGAAATGATTTGTGGTAACTTGATTTTTTTATTTTTATTTTGAGCAAGCCGATGTGAAGTGGGTTTTGGTACTTGGAGCTTCACCGGAAAGAATGGAATTGGGTGGTGGCGACAATGGCAATGGTAGATGTCGGATGTCGGATGTCGCCGACACATGACTGGTCTTCTCCAGTCTTCCCTTCCCCCTCTGCCGCAACCACAAGATGATGAAGAAGAAGGGCCAAACCCTTTTTAGTCATTTCACAAAATGTGTATATATATATATTATAAAATATGTTGCTAAGGATATTTTAGTTCAATGTTATAAATATGATCTATTTACACAAATGTCATAGTTTAGGGTGTTTTTTTTTTGCATAGGTGATGGGGTGTGTCGCCGTACCATACGTTTGAGAATGTGCAATTTAGGCGAGGGTCAAGTTTTATATTTGTAAAAGCCACTACTACCTTTCACTATTACTATAGCTAGGGCGAGTAGGGATCGT